CATTCCCCCTCTTGTACGCACGCCGTGCCACGCGGACACCTTGACTATTCAACTGTTAATGTTTTCTTTTATTTATGGAATGTTCAAAAGTTCTCTTTTGGTAAATAAGCTTAATAAGTAATAGATGGTTATACACTTTTATACCAATACTGACGTTGCATTGTTTTCATTCATAAATTCTCACATAACAAAATAACATTAAATTAAAGTTTTGGTCAATATAAGGTAATAAAATACTAGACATGTAACACATTTGTGATCTGATCGTAATTCGTAATAGGTATATTACTATGAAATTCATTCAATAGATATTGTATTTATTTATGTTTAAAAAGGACTAGAATGTGTACAGTGGTCAAATTTACTACAGCATACAATAAAGGCATTTGCCTGTAATACCTTTTTATTCTCATTTACCTCTTGTATTGTAAATTGACAATCCACAATCACTCTTTAATATTTGTTTTATTTTATGGTAGTATTTCTGGAATTTTTCTTTCAGTGCCATATGCGACAGTACAGTTTCCCAAAGAGATAATCTCACTCTCGGCACTATGATCCTATCCATTCTAACAACTATAAGACCTCGTATAGACACATTTGTTTATACGGCGCTTATAGTTTTTAGGCTTCGGTCGCTGTGATTTATCCTCTAGTTTTTATGTAACCTTTTACATAGGGAGTGATAGCTAGATTATATGTGTTAAAACAAGCATAGAAGGCCGATGTTTATAAAATAAAAATTCACCGTACCCTGTATGGTTTTATTTCACTCCATAGTTTCTTTTGCTCTCCTCACTGCTAGAGGTCACTGATGGCAGTTGTTGTAAATCGTATTGTATGTTCCCACTTGGACATTTGGACTTATCAGTTAAGGATCTTTAAACAAAAACATTTATAAAACAGTTAGTTAGACCCATGCTCAAAAACGTATGTATTTTGCGAAGTTAAATACACCTTCCCAGTTCCTTAACTATCTTTCTTATGTTTGTTTTACACATTCGGCTGTTAAAACAATCAAAACATTTACTGAACATAAAATATGAATTAGCAGTTTACTTCACAAGTTTCCATTTTTTATTTAAGTAAAGGTATAATTTTCCTTATGTTTACAGTGATTACGAATTTGATTTGTCATGTGGAAACCGTATTTTCCTTATTTACTATGGTTTCGAAGAACTCTAATTAATGTGAGACCTTTCGTGTGGCCTGTAACAATTTCTTACCACAGATTATTTAAATAGAGCGACATCTACTTTGACCTTACCGGTGTTATGCAGTTTCATTTTAATTAATTGCATCATTTCCATTGAATAGGTTGATTTTTAAACTACCCACATTTAGACTATTAAAATTTTATTACTTATAACATATACGTATGTTAAATACAAAATGTTCGTGTTAGTCAGTAAACTTTCAGAATACAGAAAAATAGGAATGGACAGGTATAAACACACTTCTTTTACCTTTTATTTCCAAATAATCCGAAAACTGCACAGTTCAATTTACTTGCTGCATAATTATTCTTTAAAATTATTTCATTATATCGATTTATGAGAATAATTGCATGTACAAGTAATCGTGACTTCTGACAGATAAGAAATGATAAATCTTTAAATATTTTTGTCCCTTAATCTTTGAGTTAGGTGTCTATTTCTGACCTTTAAAAACATATTATTTCTGATGTACTAATAATGATGTCTGCGGCTATTGTAATTTAAGACCATTTACACCTATGTATTATGCAATACATTGTTATTGTTTCGAAATGCGACACTCAACTATGCTATATCGGGTGATAACGTAACAAATGGTCTATTGCATTCTTGCCCAGAGCGCGGGTCAGCAAATACCAGTCTCGAGTCAGTACCGCTCTCACGTGACATGGCTATACTCGTCGCAATTAAAACCTAAAATATCCGCTATGTTGATAAAGCTCTTTGTTTGTTACGATTAATTTGAAAACTTTAATAACAGCCTAGGGAGCTTTATAACCACGTGCAAAAACACGGTTTTAAAATTTCTCCAACTGGCAGTTAATCCAATAACCTTATCTTCGTGTAATATAACCTCCTTTCTAAGGAGAGGCTTATGTCCAGCAGTGGACTATTAAAGGCTGTTGATGATGATGATGATGATGATGTAATATATATTTTACTAAAAAGGAAATTAAACAAAAGTTTATGAATTAATCCTATGTTTAGATCTCTATCGACCACCACTACTTTGAATGACTTTTATGTAAATATAAATTAAGGGATACTAAAATTCGTTATTGTGCAAGCTTTCAATAGTACCTGATCTTAATGCATTTCAGGAGCATGTGTTCATAAGTATTAAATAAATAACATGCCCTTTTCCAAAAGCTGTTTGCAAATCTGTTTGTAAAAAATAAAATATGTTTATTAAAACAGAGTTGGTATTTTACCAATCTAGAAAAGAATCTTCAAAATACGATGTATAAAACTAGTTGTGGTATTATTTTCAAGTATTTACTTAGCACGAGACGGGTGTGCCGCAATTGCGACCACGCTTTGCCCGTTCGTAATGAGAATAATGATGGAAGCTTGCGCCATAGATCAGTATGAGCGCGTGCGCGGCTTTCCGATAGCGGGAAATCGCTAATACTTGCGTAAGTGCGGCAGGCCGCTGCTTGGCTTTACTTTAGATAACATACCTCATCTACACCATTCTCTAATGATGACTTCTTAGTATTACTACCTGTATTGGATTATATAAATACCTATATGTTCATTTGTCTGTTGCTACAAAATTATAACTAACGGAATTTTCAGTAAAGGAGCCTACGTAGGAGTTAATTAGACTACGTCCCCTGTTCTCAAACAAATAAAGACAATGCCTGTCCTATTCCTTATGGCTTTCGCTCTTAATGTAGCCAATAATCCTTGAACCTGAAATGATCTCGAAAACGTTAAATTTTCTTTACGTTACTTAGGCTGGTAGGGTCAAAGACTGAAATACAAATTATGACAACAATGTTGCCAATGATGGTGGCTGATGAAAATAATGCTACTAATATTTATGGAGGCACCGATTTCATAGAAATACAAGTGGGTCATATTGCATCAATAGAACTATGCACGCTAGCATTACACTCGCCATGGAACTGTAATTTACTTGCATCACGTGTAACTAAAACTTATGTATATAGGTAAAACATTTGCCTCAATCATCACTGTTACCTGTCTATTATATCTTAGAGATATTTTTTCTTGATAGTACTAGTATAGAAAAAATATAGATTTTAGAATATAGAATAGAATATGGATTAGAATATTGAACTTTTGACTTGTAGTCTTAATTAATTCCTATTACGTATCGTGGAGACCATTAATTTCTGTACTAGAAATTCTAGAGGTAGTTAAACTTGCAAGAATAGTTAGGTTTCTTTTAAATTTTAATGTTAGCTCTAAACTTAAAGTTTTGATTTAGGCAGTCGCTATCAAGATTCGCTAAAATGTTTACATTCATGATTCGATCTATTAAAAAACTTACCTCAATAGATTTAGCAATTAATAATTGGGCAACGATGTTGCGTGTTTTGATAAACTACAGTTATTAATGGCTTAAATGCAGTTGTAAATAAATTATAGTTTAAAAAACTAAAAAGAAACACGTTTATAAATGTTTGAACTGTTTACTACGAGCTTAATACGTTGCGAGATACAGCAATGTCTTTTTTTTGTTTTTACTCTGTTGAGGCAATAGACTGCTGCAGTACTACCCTACTAAACTACTGCCCTGTGAATTATTTATTATTAAGTTTTAGAAGTCGCATTGCTTTTATCCCAGTTTGCAAAAAAAATAAAAATAGGAAGATACGATGAGATATAGACTCTAATTATTACCGTGTGATGTTGAAACTTGAAAAGCACTTACAAAAATTACATCCTTATTGAAAAAAATGTATATAATCTATAGCTCAGCAATTTATATATATATATATAGCTCAGGTTGCAATCCAGGGGTCATTGTACTCTATATTGAGAAATTCGATATGTCCTCACAGATGATCGATGATCGCTCATGGAGCGCTGCGGTGGACGGGTCAGATGTTAGAAGACCCTGGAGTCCGAAGTTAATTACACTAATTCCGGGCATCATTTGTACCGATAGCAAAAAATCTCTTACGTCATTTCATTTCGCTGTTGCTCCAAACGAATGGTGGGAGAGAAGTTTTTTGTCCTCTTGTCAGATCGTTCTATCCATCAGTCCGTCACGCGGACGTTGACCGTGGTACTATGTATATTTGGGTGTTCTATTACTAACATCTTGACACATGAAGTTTTTAGAAACAATTCTAAGGGAGTGTACTCGTAAAGCATAAATAGATGTCCAGTAGCATGTATCTGGGAAAATTATGTATGTGGTTCCGTAGATTTACGTTCATAAATGAGACATGTTATCATCTATAGTATGTCATACCCATTCCATTTAAAGCCTCAAGATGTCAATAAAAGTATTAACATTGTTTCTCAATTTCTTAATAATTTTATTTATTATTTTATCATTTATCAACTGGTCTGTATGGATATAGCGACTGGATAGGATCAACCGTTTTTATCGTATATTTTTCTTTATTGAGAAACATTTTAGTCTCTTGGGGATTATGGTTTATGCATATCCATCACACATTCAAAATGTCAATGAAGGTGTATAGCCTGTGCGTGAGTTGTATATATGTGGTACAGATAGCTATTTGAACGGATATCGGGCGGGCGGCGAGCACGCGGCGCGAGCGCGCCCAGTCAGAGTGCCGCCGCGCCGCTAGACGCACGCGCGCCCTGCACGTGCTAACTACTCTTTTATATACGTCCAGGTCATCACTCAAATTTGTGTCTTAACAAGCTTTGTTTACTACACATAAAAAACAAATGATGTCAGTTTGCATGTACTTATTTTGCCCCTGGTTTTTTCTCGTGATCTACTTGGGTTTCCTTATGCTGGACGTGTGAGACCTGAAGGCTCGACTTAGTGGCTCAGGACATTTGAGAGCGCAGACGCGGCATCGCGATCGATAAGAGCGGGGAGCGAGGCCGGTCGGTGTCAGGCGTGCGCCGTGCTAGGTAACACGCGGGTGGTTTTGGCGCGCTCCGGCGACGGTGCGAGCGGTGCCGCGTGCCGGGAGCGCCGTTGGTGTTATGCGGGGCGAGTGCGGCTGCCGCCAGGCCGACTGTAGAACCAGCTGAGCCGGCCGTCACTATCGCTCCGCACGCGTCGGGCACGCGGCCGCGCGCCGCGCCCGCCATGAGCGCGGCCACGCCGGAGGTGCGCGGCCCGCCGGCCGATGCAGCATTGCCTGCCGTCGTACTGCCCAGGATCAAGCCGGACCTCGGCCTTAATGACGCGACACTATTCGCTGTTTACTGCTTTATTAAGAATTTTATTGGGTGAGTCTTCACTTTAAGGATAGCTCTCGAGTCTAGCTACATCTTTCTTTTTGCCGGCTTAGTTATGTAACAAAGTTTAGATCCCAACCCTTGGGAAAGTGCTATTATTAAGCTTCTATTCTACTTCAATGTTAAAAAATAAGAAATTATATTAAATGTTTGTATACCTTTAAAATGCATATTGTAACCTGTACATAGTTAAGATCATTATCGTTCGATAAGTAATTGCAAGCTAGAAGATTATACAAGTAAAGTTGCCAAGGCCAGCCTGCACGATGTATAGTTAAACCTTGGATTCGGAACTAGAGGTGTACCACTCGCCTATACTATTAAAACGTTTTGGGTCAAGGAATTTGGTGATATTTTGCATATTAACTGTTGGATTTTATTAATGGAAAAATTCTTGTAGGCATACTATTTTAGAATGGTTGGTAGAACCAGTGGAAATTCTGGTAAAATTTTCTCCTAGAACGTATTTAACTGTTATTTTATTTTATACTAGCTTTTACCCGCGGCTCCGACCGCGTGTTTGTCGGTTATCGCGGTATGTCCTATTTAAAGGACATAGGACATCAAGAATTAAACTTTGTCCATGCAAAATTTCATCTGAATCTATACAGCGATTATTGATTCCCTATACAAATTCCCACTCCCTATCCTATGTCCTTTACCGGGACTCCAAGTATCTCTATAGCAAATTTCATCTAAATAGGTTCAGCGGTTTTAAGCTTGAAGATAACAGACAGACAGACACACTTTTGCATTTATAATATTAATATGGACAGCGACAACAGCATTCTGAAAATGATTGCTGCCAGACCGAATTGCCCATTCCAGAAACACTGGGTGATGACAGTCATAAGTCAATACAAGTGATAAGTATAAGTAAAAAATTAATAACTAATAATACATACTTATCAACTTAACTACTATTGTTACTAACACTGAAATACTAACATAAATATGGACCTTAGTCTGAAATAAAAAGTTAATGATTATTATATTTATTAATATAATTTTTACAGTACTAGCAACTTAGCCTTGACTGAATACCCCGTTTATAATATCACTTTTTCACCGTTGGTTAGCCACGAAATGTCTCGTACTTTGCTTTCTCATAGACGCACAATGTCTATTCAAAGGACCGTTCAGTAATTTGTCTTTAACAACTTTTCGAAAATATTTTTGTAAGATAAGATACCCAATATTTAATAGAAACTTGTCATTTTCACTGTCCACGCCTGTTTACACTTAAAATCAAAACTGGGTTTGGTACCGAGATATATCCATACTAATATTATAAATGCGAAAGTGTATCTGTCTGTGTGTCTATTACCTTATAACGCTTAAACCGCTAAACCGATGTAGATGTCATTTGGTATGAAGATAGTTTGATTATTGAGGAAGGACTTAGGCAAATTTTGACCGCTATAAAATACACGCAGGCGGAGCCGCAGGCAAAAGCTAGCACGTCTATAAATAATAATAAATAACATTATAACAGCTTTTTATTTAAGGCTTCTCAATTTTTTTATTTTTTACATGTACTTACATGTCTGTCGTTTTGTGTAAGAAACTGTTGGAGTAGACTCTCGCTGCAGGTAGATGATGTGATGTTATAGGGCTGTTATAACTCGGGCTCGTTTTATTTGGGAAAAATAATGATATATTCTATGTTAAAATTCATTCAATCTCAATTAAATGACTAAGTTAGTTTTAGACATATTGAATTTCTTTTTTTGAAAATGGTTTAATTTATATTGGGTCTTTACCTACCAAAATTTTAAAATATAATATTTTTGGTATTTTTTCATTTCAGCTAATCAAAGTACTGGCCTAAATTATCAGTAGTCAGCGAAAGCGTTTTGTACTGAATCTCGGGTGTTGATTTTTTTCCCTCTTAAAAGATCGTGTTGAAAAAAGTAGAAATCTATTGGGGCGAGGTCCGGTGAGTACGGTTTGTAACGGAGAGCTTTCAGCTGTAACTCCTGTAGCTTTGCGATGGTCTGTCCTTAAGTGTGAACTTGGCGTTGTCCGAGCTTGGCGAGCTATTCCATAATTGTTTGCAATTCTTGGCAATAAACATCTGCTGTCACTGTTGTGCCATTCGGTAAGAAGCTGTGATGTACAAGTCCGGCAAGACAAGTAGTCCAGACAGTCATTATTATCTTTTGTCGTACAGGATCTACTTTTTATCGCAGGTAACAATTCTATTCAGAATTCCTTCGTTTCTATGCCGATTCAGTAGTGCTATGGTCGGTTAGTACGTGTGGCACCCACTTATCTAAGTTGTTTTTGTGTTTGACACAAGTGCTTCAATGATGTTTTGACACTAACTCCAAGCCCTCAGCAAGCTCAGCCGTAGATTGAGTTGAACCCCCTTAATTCGTCGTGCTCGACTATACTCGTAGTTACCGGTCGACCGCGAGGCTCGTTCTTGAACTCAAAATTTCCAGATCCACAATGATTGAATTAATAATGAACCGTGTTTATGCAAGCAGTGTTAGGCCAATACACATCGTTAATGTTTGGTGTTGTTTGTGCAGTGGTATATCTACGTAGGAAGTCATATTCAAAATTTGTACGAATTTTCAGTTTATCTATGGCGCCCAAAACTACCACAATTTTACAAAAAACAAAACATTATTTAAAAGAAATGCCTGAATTTTAAATGACAATATATTGGCAATACTTTCGAATAAAATTTATTTGAATTTCGAATTGCACGCCGATCCACAGATAATTAAATTTGAACATGCTGGTTTTTAAAATGTCAAACTTCATAGGTAAAGACCTATTATTCCTTTTAAAACTGGGCATAAACAGCGCTAAAAATGCATTTTTTTTAATATACAACTAAAAAGACACAAATATGGTTGCAATTTATGCAGAAATATAGGTATAGTAAGAAGTACATATATTGAAGAAAATAGAAGTGTTAATATCAGGCCTGTTGGGGCTTGCGTATACTGCCCGAGATAATTTTCTTTTTACCATAAATAGCACATTATCTCTTGTTAATTGTAGACGATAAAGGGCAGTTTTGCCGTGCCGAACTTTGTTAGGAGAAAGTCTGCCTTTAGAAAGTACGCTTTGTTTTGTTTTCGTGTTGTACTTGTGTTATGGTCCTTGGTTGATAAGCGTCTATTTAAACAGACAAGATTACTCAACGTAACATCTAGTCTAGCTGTTCCGCCTTACTCGCCGTACAGTTGTCTGCGTTTTACAAATAACATGCTCAGTAACAATTTTGCACACGCAGCTAAATGACGTTCTATTTACCAGCCACATGATGATGATTGAGTTCATCGAATGCACGTGACTGTGGTCGCCATAAAATGTTTATTCCTTAAGCAAAATATATTCTTTCGTTTGTTTGTTTGTAAAAACGATAACCTACCAAGATTTACTACTACGTTTTTACGATACCTGTATTCACTCGAACCTGAACATAACTGTGGTTAGTGATTTTAGATGTAAACTGTTGATTTGTTGAAGCAGGCATCATCACTTTCACAAGAAGAAAAGGGAAAGTCTCCATGGCGCCCGTTCCCTTGCGGTCAGATTAGCTCAGGCTATCGGCCGGCGCTAATTCCTCTTGTTTATTTCGTTTCACATCAATGCTTACACAATCATTTTTGCTGATTTCACTACAAACTTTACTAATTTAAAAAAAACTAGCTCCTCGCTTATTGTATGCTTATCGATATCCTAAATGCCTCTTTATTCTCTTTTTTCTTTCTTAAAAAAGAGTACTGGAACCTTGGGCCACATATTATTATTATTAGTATTCTTGCTAATCCTTCCAGTTAAACTACACGTCTGTAAGGAGTACACAAGTCCGAACTTAGGCATTACGCTACCGCTGTTTTTTTGTTCGGAAATACACGTGAATTTCACTAATAATTACGTAAGTGTATAAATGTAACTTATAAATTTCTTGATGGTTACGTAACAAATAAAGATCATATCGACATCACGTTTGTTGATTTTTATCGTAATCAATCTCAGCTAAGGATGCTTTCGACAATCCATTCTTGTCACATTTGTAATAGCTTTATCGGTTTCATCGCGACTATTCTAGTAATACATTTATATGTAGGAGGATAATGATCTTAGTTTACAAAAAAAACTGGTCGTCAACACGAGTAATTGTTATAGACATGCATTTCTAAAAATGACAGTAAAAGTGTATAATGATTTTTTACTTCGTTAAAAGGAAGAAGTTTTAAACAGAATCCAAAACTAAATAAAGCATTAAACACTTGATTATTTAACTCATATGAATATTGTGTTAACATTGAAAAGAAAATCTGTAACTTAAGGTTCCGTGCCACAGAGTGTGCCAACGGCGGGATCATTAGCCTCCGCTGTTAGTCCGACTCCATTCTGCTCAAATGCTTTTTTTAAATTTAAATATGAAAACTTCGTCAATGTTATAAATTCGTAGTGCATACTTGTATCTTGCAGGTTACTGTCGATCAGTTGTCCGTTCTCGCTTCGGTAGGTTTTGATATGATAGTGCGTGTTCGTAACAACCGCATACCGTGGGCTTGAGTAACTGATATATAGTGTTCATGCTACTGTTCACCTATTATTTTGTATGATTATTTAGTATTATTATATTTTTATTGAAATGCAAATTTTCGGTTTTAATTTCTACGGAAAACTCAACTGATGCAATTTCAAGTAACTGTACAGCTTATGTTGTTTTTGTTATAAGAACAGTACCTACTTATTCCGTTTGTTTACATCAGATATCAAGGAATGGAAAGTTTGTTAGGTGATGGGTCAGAAAAATCGCCATCAGTTATGCAAGGTCCTCGGCATCTGCATTGTTTTGCGTACTTAAACCTGTTGAGTGAGATTTACTTTTTACAATTGCAAAATCCGTTGCATCAACATATATCTAAGAAAAAAAGAGGATTTAGTATTTTATTTTTAATTTAACATAAGCTTAATACGATAGATATGTATCAGTTTTACGAGTAAACAGAAAGGATCTCATCTCGCATATTGATTGACGAGTTGCCTTGACGTGCTACCATGGCGCCACCCTACAAAGCCGCCCCTTTCACACAAGGACGTCGGGAATAGGGACGCGCGCAAACTCACAACTACACTCGGGGTCTCCAGCCAGTGTGTACACGTTCATCGGACAGAGAGCACGCTTTCTCTCACCTACGCGTTAACGTTGACCCGCGAAAGTGCCCTATTGTGTTTTTCTAACTTGGACCACTCATCCAGTGCACTGGAGGACTCTCTAAAACACCATTTGTAAGTGCCCCATATTACTGGTAGTACTAGAAACCCAGATACTTAAACTAGGTCAAGCTGCCGCGTCCTCGGCCCTAAGGGTCTTATTTATGAATGGGCGTGTTGTTTTTCTGTCTTGAAATGTTTGCCTAAGCAATCATTATAAGCACTTTATTGAATATATCTGTTACAATGCATCCAAATCAGAAAGAACAAGCCATGATGACGTCATCACTTTAATATGGGGCGTCATGGACACAAACACACAGGTATTCCCATACCCTAACATTTTCTTCATTGATTTTGAAACATGCTGGCATGAAATTAGTAACTCGAATGTTTAAATGGGCTTTTAGTGAGAAGAAACAGGATAATGCACTCATTTTTCGAATTTTAAAACAAAACAACCAGAACGATACTGAAAATACCGCGTTCACCGTTTTGTCCTTCGTTCCTCTTCATATTCTTGTTTCCTTTGTCTGAAATCTTTTGTTTTAAATTATAAACATTTACTTTAATATGACATGAGTACCTACCATGCACTAAATTTAAAAATAGCCCGTAATGAGGGACAAAAAAGCTTTCCGTTAATTATTTATAACTTACTTTTCATGAAAAGGATACAAAGAAAGTAAATTAAACGCATTATGTATACAAAAATAATATATCGACTATGTAATTATAGGCATACAGAGCGGTGGTGATACTTAACTTAGTGACAGAGAAAATTGAAATTGTAACCGATGAAACAACTTCAGTGTCTGTATGACTTTAAATAACAAACAGGTAATCTATATTTTTCTCTAATATCCAGATTGACGTAAAGAAAGTCTCATTTAATGATTAGTAATAGGAACTCAAAGACTTCCTCTTCACTGTTCTCAATTGTGTTCGAGTAGGAACTATAAACCGTGCTGATGATTACGCTCGGATAATCTTAATCTAATCTCGCTCCCTCTCATTCGGAGAAAGTTGTTATCCCAGGACACGCGCTGCCCAACGCCGAATGCCCCTTCTGTATTAATTTATTATTACCTATACGTGGCCGAACGATAATTACACAATCCCTCATTTATCTCTCTATCACATTACTTACGCACTGCTCCTAACCGGTACAAAATACGCTTATTCGTTACGGAACCATTTTATTATTATTATTCTTATTATTTGATCAGGTAACGCAACTGCCCTCCGAAATAAAAATATATTTTTGTAACCAACCATAAACTACAAAACTGCTTTTGAGTTACTTAAGTACCAGTAGAACTGACTTGCAAAAAACCAGACAAGTGGTACAAGTTGAAAGTGCCCCTAGACCGCGTTGTTATTTTCCTTATACCTCCACCGAAGCAAGACAAAGGATTACGAAAACGTTCGTCAGCCCGCAGACGTTGCACTCATTTTTATTCTTGCTTGCAAGTGTTGCCTGAATATCATACAGACGGAACTGTCCGTGTGTCCATTACCTAATTTTTTTAATGTTTGAGAATCTAAAATGAGAGATTTATAGATAAGTATATACTTACTTGTGTAATAATTTATTACTGTTACAATAAAAATATTTTTAGTTATTCAACTAATATTTCGCTATGTAAAAATTACGTTACATTTTCACTAGCTGTAGCGATGGTGTACCTACTCGGCCGTCCACACTTCCTGTGTGGCGGCGTCAGGTGGTGCTATTTCTACCTCTACATGAACCGAGCTGTCTCACAATTCATGTTCAAAGTCGATTATTTTAAAAACTAACACGGAACCGAGTTGTTGTTCTCCTAAATAAAATTATATTCAAGGATTTTTTCTTGTCCCTGTTGCATAGCAACCACGGCTTTCATTAGCATGTAAGTGATTACACGATCGAATAAAAAAGAATGTATTCAGTATCATCCTCAAAACAATTTGGTACGTTCCTAAAGCTATGTCAATCATGTTATCTATTGTGCGTCCTTGGTACATTTTATCGCATAGCAACATACTATTTAGCTCAACACTCAGTTTCGAACTCGGAACAATGCTTGATATGACCTGATTTCAGCTCATATTGTAATCTGGTGCAGCTAACCTATATTTTTTTAATTGCTATGTAATTACTGATACGCTTAATACTATTGTTGATGCGTGATAATTATCCCTGGCTGTTAAGACTCTTTTTTTATGGCAATCGACAATTCAGGATGTTCTACGGAAGGAGGAGAAAGGTATGTAAAAGCGTGGGTATCACCCGTAGTAGATCCCACCTAAATTTAAACATGTTTCGTTTCTAATTTCCTTGCGCCGCACTCATCACGGCACTTATAAAAAGCGGCGGCGAGGTCAAAGCGTTGTACGGCCGACAGTGTGGAACCCGCACGCGCGTTGTAACGACGCTTGTATCGATATGGATGTTTCATTATCTCACGTGCAACAGTGACGTCACGTGTGTATGCAACAGTCGAGCCAATGGCTCTTGGCAAGGTGGATGCGATTGATTAAAGTGTGCGTCTTCACTAGTGTGCGTTGCGCGGTGGAATCCACTCGTGTCCGTATGGTGCAAAAGTTGATGGCGGAGTTGAAGGTGCTCATCGGGAAAAGAGCACCGGCCGGAGGTGCGGCCGTCGGGCCTTCGCCTGCACCGCCCGGCCAACAACAGTATACAAGAAGGGACCTCAAGGCAAATCTAAATAGACACATGAGTATCGTATTAGACAGGTCAGTAAAGAATGACTGAACTTAATTTTCGACTTTGTTCTTTGGAACCCGACTATATTTCTAATTATAACTACATTGTAATTGTATCTAGTCAACGCTTTTATATATTTTATATTCACTGATAGCGTTGAGCAAGCAAAAACAGATAACAATTTCGATAACTAGTATAGATGATAAGGAAAAACATTTTCACACCGTCCGATTAAGTTAAACGTGTGATCGTGATGCAAACGGGTGGTTTGCCGAACACTGAGGTCGATCTTAACGTCAATACTACTGAAAGTTGTATGACCGTTATATATCTACGCCTTCGTTATACGTCCATATATTCCAATACCACAAATGGGTATTGGTGACATAATTTGATAAATAATAATGTTATGATGCGGTATCATCTTCGATCGTAATGTCAACAAGCATAGTCCCACTAGGATATAGTGTTGAAAGGCAATATAATGGAAATATACGAGTACATTTTTTTATTCATTATAAATTCAAAGTAAAAATACTCATTTAAATTTGATTTGTTATACATTAACATTTGAAGGTTAAACACACCCACTTAAATACTTTTACCTAAAACTAAATTCATCAATCATGTCCTGTTCCTGTAATCTATTTTTTCAGTCATGTCTAATAAATAAGTTGAGTTAAAATATACTAAGAAACTGGTTATCTCTCTAGATATCTAAAATAAATACAAAACCTCACCTAAAACATTTCCTGTAATCAAAACTAAGATTAGGTTTAATTTTTTATGAGACGGGGCAGACAAGCAGACGAGTCAGCTGATGGAAAGTGACTACCGCCGTCTATGAACTTTTGCAACTCAGGAATCACAACAAACAACAATGATACAACTTTTATACAAATGATTCGTCGGTATTGCTGAAAATCCTATCCATTTCAAAGTTTTCTTTAAAAAGATGATTCCGTTCAAAATGTATCTTATGTATAATGTGTTGCAACTGTAACCAAAACCATACGATACCCACAAAGCAAAACGCATTATGTTCTGTATGAATTACGTTAATCAAAACCGAAGGTCTTTGACCTCATTGCGTGTGTTCCACACGCATCCGCTTATGTTTTGAGTTGTCGTTGAGTTGCTCGACAGTAATCGTACTTGCGATGTTATGAAGATTCTGTAGCATTTAATATACCTGAACAATACCTCTGTTCAGGTATAATAAATACTATAGAATCTTATACTACTAAATAACATTTTCAAAATTTAGAAGAAGTTTTTTATTTTTAGAGTAGTTTTGTGATAACTCGTGATGGGCATAGTATGTATAATTTTAATGGGCTTAATGTATGTACATAAATGCGTTTTCACTAAATAACTTTCAAGGTAGCAACGCTATTAGAAAACAACAGCATATTAGGAAATATTAACTCGTTATCTTTTATAGTAATGCCACAAAAACAACTCTGACGTTTAACATATATGTTTGTAAAGCGTCAGTTGTTTCTGTTCGCTTATTGCTAGGTGGTTATTAGCTTATGAGAATATCTATATACAGTTACGAAGTTCTTTCCAACTGGGTAGACAGATGCTTATTAAACATGAACACTGCTTAATATAGGCTACCTATATTGAAAGATAAGTAAGGTAATACGGTAGGTACGGTATACGCATGGATCTGGGAGTAGTTTGAGAATACCAGGGTCCGTGTACATTGAACTGGCATCAGTCGGAAAGTCTTAACAAAGTGTTTTTCATGTTTATTAATGGTATTGCAAAATAAATGTGACGAAAATTTTAAGAATCTTACATACAAATTACATAAAATTAATAAAAAATGGTTTATTCATCCGCGCATGCCTTTTTTAACATTAACCACTGGGAACTTTAAAATTGCCATTATTCCATGAAAAATGCATAATAACTCTTTCGAAAAATAAAATCAAGCAATAACTTAAGATTCCAAGTACATAATAATAATCATTATTTAGCATATATAATGTTATTGTGGTTAACAGACTCGATTTAATCATTTAGTGTGTAAGGTCAAATTGGCTTCGAAGAAGCTCGGTGTGCTGAACAGATCAAGCCAGTATGTCACTCCAGCCCATCGCCTCTAAATCTATGAGGCGCAAGTCCGGCCGCATATTCAATACTGTTTCCATCTCTATGCAGGGGCACCTCAGTACCAGCTTCTCCCTCTGGATCGTATATATCATGGAGAGTGCTGCGAGGAATTGTTCGCGCTAATACCGGCCACAATTTTCCGCCATGTTCCACCACTTGGATAATTGGCACTCCACCACTGTGTGCTTTTCAACACACTTTTTTGCCTTACACTGTGCACCTATAGCATAAGTTATCGTATGCAGTATTTCCGGACCGATTAGACCTTCAAGGAGATCGTACTCCTTCCTCAAAGGCCGGCAACGCGCTTGTGGCTCCTGAGTTACTGGCGTTCACATGCAGCGGTAGTCGCTTTCCATCAGGTGACCCGACTGCTCTTTGCCGCCTGTTCTATAAAAAAAAGCATTAAGAAAAAAATAATTTTAATCTTGTCTCCTTTAGTGTGGTGATGGATTAAAGTACAGAGTGTCACCACACCTGTTCATCCCTTTAATGATATTTAATAATATTATACAATTCAAATTTTAAGAAAAATTAAACAAATTGAAAACAAACGAAATACGAAATATAACAAAAAATTAAATGTCCATCACTTACAAACACAACAACAATGATTGGAACGTAAATCTGGGAGTAAGCAGCATCAATCTCAAGAAAATTTGTCATCTAAATATTCTGGAACCTGTAGTAAGCCGTTTCACATAGTTTTTGTTTTACATTTTTTTTTATTTGCTTGGAATTTTACTGTAGAATCGAATCGATTCGCGATATCGAAAAGTGAGATATCGAAAATATTTGCATATTAATTTCAACCTAGCTACCAGTCAGTCAGTCAGTACAGTATCGGGAAATAGCAATCTGTAATAGACTAAGGAGTAGTGATTAAGTTTCGCTTATAAAAACCTAAACTTACTTTTATAAAAATGTGCCCTAATAAAGCTCTAGTTTCAAAATAAGATTTTTGTAACTTCCCGTTTTTTAGAACGTTTCACAGTACTTCCAAGCACTTTAGAGTCTTCACATATACACGTCAGACCGCGGTGTTGGACTTAGTTTAAGTACTTCTCTAGTTTACGGCCTCGGCGACTCTTTATTTACGAGGATTCCATTGCCCCATATTTTTCTGTTACAATACTTTATATACTTGGCCTTAATCTAATCAACGTCATGTAACAAGTTACGTTTGACTGTGTACTATGTTAATTTTTATAACATATATACCACTAGTACTTTAAAGTACTTTATTTGTTTAACACCAACATGGCATCGCAACATTAATACACAAGTGTAATTGCGGTTAAAACGTAATAATTACTTGTTTACGTGTACTTAGTAGACTGTTTGTCGGACATACATATATTAAAACACGCTATGAAAAGGTGTGGGATGCCAATATTTAAATCCGTTCAGTGTTGCACGTCAATATGTGTCGAACTCTTGGCATCATCGTTCTTCGTCTGTCTCGTGTTGAATTAAAAAAGTTGATATGATTAATATATTATTCTCCTTTAATCTTTGTAAAGTATTTACCAATTAAACTGCCACAGCGATTAATTTACCGATGCTACCAATTTACGCATTGGAGAATTTTATTTTTACACCCATGTAGACAATCAAATTATTTTCATTTTCATAAATCTAGTTCCGTTCCGTAAATTGAGTCATTAGTAAAGAACTAAAGACATTAATGCCTTACGCGAAGTGTGTGCCCAGCGTGATTCATATAGGTACGATATTGAACACATGTTCGCATTTTCGTTTTCACTTAACGATAACATTCATACGATTAATCGCTTATCGAAGGTTATCCACTCCCTTTACTGCAATTCTCATAAAAGGATTTTGATTTTATTTTTATAAGAAAGCATATTTACATGAAATATATTCACACAATATATTGTAACAAATCGTAAAACTTTTATTAGTAATTTAATAGTCAGTACCTGAATAACCGAGCTTTGCTCGGTATTTTTTTTTTTTGGTAAATTTTCTAAAATTGAAACCTAGCTAGATCGATTAATCGCCCCCAAAACCCCGGCATACTAAATTTCATGAAAATAATGACAGCCGTTTCCCAGATTCAGATATTATATATACATATATATATATATATATATATATATATATATATATATATATATATATATATATATATATATATATATATACTGGTATATCCGTGTGGCGCGGATTAAGAATACAGAGTGTTACCACCCCTATTCATCCCGTGGGTGTCGTAACGTAAGAGCCGACTAATTGCCAGCCAGCGTGGTATAGTAGGCCAAAACCTCCTTTCTAAGGAGAGGTTTATGTCCAGCAGTAGCCTATTAAAGGCTGTTGATGATGTGATATATACAAGAATTGCTCGTTTAAAGGTATTAGATTAGATAGATTTGATAAAATACACCCTTTAAAATCAAACTAATTACCCAACAATCGACAAGATTATCTTAAAACAATAATGGGATCAGACATCTGCAATTGTTGGCATTGATTTTTTGGCCAGCAACGCAGTTGTCAATACTTTTGTGGAAAAGTGTACTCGTCTGGTTAAAAAATTGATATGGCTACACTTTGGATTATTAGTTATCCTATAAAAACTTATTATTTATTTAGGTACTTGCTATTTTCTACGCAATTTCACCAGAAACCCTTCAAGCTTGTCTTAATTATAAACGAACGGAAATAATTCAACTTATGTTGATTTTATAGAGACGAGCATCTTAGGATCCCCTGTATTTTATACTGATGACCTGGACGGCGTCCAGAGAAATGTCAGAATGACAATTTTAAGTGACTAGTAGACGCATGTACATCATACCGATGGTCACGTATCACGGTATTATTCACCGCAAATATCGATATCTTCGTTAACGTTCGGATTACGACAGGGCGGCGGGGGTGCTTTATAGTGGTGACCGCAGTCGCATGCGCCGAGCCGCCAGCGCACGGCCGCCCGTCGAGGCCGCACCGAAGCCGTGCTATGCTACACAGTAGTACACAGTCTAGGTCATTACACTTATTCGCGTGTATACCTTATCGCGTTCTTATTATCGCATTAAACATATTTCATTCAAGTATCGATCGAAACCGTCGGCCGTATTGAAGGAGTCTTAAATTTCGTGCGACGAACGAGAACGGTCGCGCGTATATCGCTCGTCCGTCGGATGACATCAGTTAAGCCAGCAACGTCCGCTGGAAACAATAAGCGTTCAGTGTCCACGCCGTGGTCGTGTCGTACGCACGAGAAGCTTCATGGAGGACGCTCGGTGCGCTACGTGCGAGGCCCTGGGGCGCCGCAGCCTCTCTTCGAAGCTTCTTCAGGTTGCGACCGCGCAGGCGCACATGAGGACATGCTCACACGCTTCCCCACCTGAACAGGTGCACGACTCCGACCTTGCGTCCCGGGCTCTAGCTGCCAAACGACGCAAGTCCATAGCTGGCTTCAAGCTGAACTTAACGATAGACTCTCATCCGACGTCGAAATCGACTACTACCGAGCAGCCGCGATTGCCTTTTGCTCGAAGAAACACATGGTGCTCGTAAGTGATACACTTGCATTCAAACACACTTTAGTTTCAATTATTCTTTTGGTTTATTGGGATGACAACCCTTTGAGAAACACTTTATATTTCATAATTTAATAATTTACTGCCATGCTGTCGGATTTGATTGTAGAATATGATATTGTCTGTACGGTGTCACCTGTTTTATCATTATCTGCATTAATCCAAATAGATACATTGATCCCTAACTTTATTGTACACAAGTTTTCCTTGAATTTCGTTAATTATTAAAACTTTGTATCGACCTTTTTATTATTACAAGATGGTAACTAAATGTGGCCTCGCACGTATCACTTCATAGACAAAAAACCACTCGTAATTATCTCTTCTAAAAATAATTTATCTTTTGAAGTATGAAATGTAGAATTAACTGTTGATTGCAATCTTGCATGATTTCATAATGTATAATAACTGCTTATGTTGTAATACTACACTTGGCTGAATTTTATCTGTCAAGAAATCAATTGGTGATAAATGGCACACTTTTGTGCTCTATGAACTTTATTATAAATATACAGATAAGATTTCAAATTCAATTAAACAGATCAGCCACTGATCACCAATGAACTATACGAAAGAACTGACAGTTTTTGACAATCTTGGATTTTGAGTTTCTTTTTCATACATTACTTTTTTACAAATATGTATTACACGCGATCGGAAATATATATGTTTCTTAATTAATCAAGTAAACTTGTTTAAGAAGTCATCATTCTGAATTTTTTAATTCTCCAAAAAACCTATTTAAAGTTATCCTAATTCATGTACCTAGTCCTATGAGCATACAGGTCTCCAGTTCAAACTTAAATGATATACTTACAATAATACTAAGTGCGGACCAGCGGAAATTTCAATCTACTCGACTTAAGCCCCTGTTTATATAATAAAGAACTAATTCCGGAACTTGGCACTTAACGACTTTTTTTTCTGTATTAGTCACATTAGATAGACGTGAACGTGAAAATAAATATGATGCATAATACAAGGAATGTAACTACTTGTCTGCCCGTCCGAGCATGTGATAAATGTACAAAGAGTATATTATGGCAAACTCGAGAACTTCAATGACAATACGATATAATGACTATTAAGAAAAAAGAACAAATGCTAATATTATGACCCTCACAAGAAACAATAATTCCTTTATAATTACATTAAGTATAGCAAAAAGTAACGACAGTGATCATGTGTTTTTCATACAGAGGAATAATTTGATGCCATAAATTATTCTACTCAGATCTAAAGTATTAAAGGTCAGAAGATTAACATGAATAGCAACATTATGATGTAATGCATAATTGAATACAGTTGAATCGATTCTAGAATTATCTACATGCATATGTGAGTACCTGATAGATGGAAACTCTCTAGAGTAACGCCCGTGCCAAAAAGTACTTCAACAAATGAGATCAATAACTTCAGACCTATCGCAGTATTGTCTATTTTTGGGAAATTATTTGAAACTATTCTCAATTGTTGCATTTTTAAACAAATCAGAACCCGGTTAGATGACTCACAGCACGGATTCCGTCCGTCGCGTTCTACTCTAACAAATCATATAAAATTTGTTGACTATGTAACTACTAGGATGAGAGCGGGTTGTCAAATTGATGCAGCATATTTTGATTTCTCTAAGGCATTCGATCTTGTGGATAATGATATTCTGTTAGCTAAGTTTTCAGCCTTTGGATTCAGCCTAAGGCTTTTGGTTTTCATGGCTAACTACTTAAGAGATCGTAAACAGTATGTAAAAGTGGGCAACTATAGTTCACATGAGTACTATACTCGATCAGGTGTAAGTCAAGGTAGTACTTTAGGACCTACCCAGTTTCTTGTAATGATAAACGACCTTCCAAGCGTTCTCTCTAGAGCTCAATGTTTGATGTTCGCCGATGATCTAAAATTATTTTTATCTGTCGCCGATACTGCAGATTGTGTTGAACTACAATCTGACATAGACGCAGTCTACGAATGGAGTGTAAGAAATAAATTGTCTTTTAATACATCAAAATGTAAAACGATAACTTTCACTCGTTCTCGCACCCCAGTATCGGTGACGTATGCGCTAGCTGGCACACCTCTCGAGCGTGTCAGCTTAATACGAGACTTAGGGTTGACTCTTGATCAAAAGCTAAACTTCCGCGACCATATAAGGCAAATATGTAAAGACGCTAATAAAGCTCTGGGGTTCATTATTAGGACTTGTTCTCAATTTACCAACACACAGCCTATTAAATTGCTCTATAATGCCTACGTACGTAGTAGACTGGAATATAATTCAATAGTGTGGAGCCCGCAAGAAAAAATATATACCCTTTCCATTGAAAGAATACAGCGTAAATTTGCCCGATACCTGTACAAGCGGGAGTATGGTTATTACCCTTTCTTGTTTCCTTCTATGTTTGTATCAGGCATGGTGGGCCTTGATACACTTGAGCTTAGGCGAAACTTTAACCATATTGTGCACTATTTGTTGCTAATTCACGATAGGGTAGACAATCCATCGGTGCGTGAATGCATTAATTTGTATGTACCAAATAATTACTTGCGCGGTTGTCGTCGCCATCACCGACTCCTGACTTATCCTACAACGTGGCGTCTCCCACAAGCTGTTAGTAGCCCCACGGGAAAAGCTATCCAACTAATTAATGTTTTTTTGCAAAGTAATGTAGATGCAGACATATTTTTTGACAGCTTACCCAAATTAATGCAAAATGTAATGATCTTTTTAACTACTAATAAATAACTGTTACCTATAATGTACTCTGTATAGCTATTAATATTTATTGACATCTTGTAAATTTTTGTGACATCTTATTGCTTTAATTCTTTATTTCATAACATTTTATTATTTCTGTGTGATTGTATGAGTTATTAATTATTTGTAATTTATATAAATAATTGAATGTATTGTTTTGTATTATGATCTGTGGTCTGTATATCTGATCCAATGTAGTATAGCATATAAGCGTTTTGGTTGTGAGACTGTGAGCTTGTAATGTTACTTAAATAAAATAAATAAAAAAAAAAAAAAAAATAAAAAAAATATATCCCTGCCCCTTCTTGTTTACTAAAATAAACAGTTTAAATTGGGATAAATTATCTCTGGATTGACAGTTTATTTATAATCCAATTTTAGATAAATCTGATATATTTTTTTGTCTTGTATCATTGTCACTGGCTGATTTGAACGATGATGGATTGAGAGAAATCTTAGTTATGATGAATGATAAAATAAATGTGTCGGTTTTTTTTTTACACACGGAAAGCTTGAAACCTTATACGAAGGATAAATACATAGATTGTTCACATTGTACACATCTATCTAATCTAATACCTTTAAACGAGCAATTCTTGTATATTATATATATATAATGTATATAAATTAAGTATGCAGGGGGTTTCGGGGGCGATTAAATGATCTAGCTTGCTTTCATTTTTAGAAAATTTCCCTTTTTTGAGAAATTGTAATAAATACCGAGCAAAGCTTACTTACAATAAAACGAATGCAAGCTTTATAAAATCTGTTACATATAATGTATAAAATAATAGCTCTTGCTCTCTGTCACCATTATCATTCATTCCGAATGCTGTAATCTTAAAATACAAAACAACTTAAAATATTAATCTAGACACTTGGTAACATGTCACACTGAAGATCTAAAAACGTCAACAATATATTTATGATAAAAAAAATGTATAAAATAAATAAATGAAAATAGACAAACATGTGTGTATATGAAAAAATTGAAATCTTATAGTGTTTCCCTAAAGCTTCCTTGTTTTAGTTCGTCAATTTCTTAAATAGGATTTAAGCCATGTAATAAATTCCTTTGCTCATAACTTGAAATTCATCATCATTATTCTGCCCTTTTACCAATTTTATTTGCAGTCGGCGCAATGTATAATATTGCAAAAAGTTTTGGCTGTTGTATTTTATGGCCGTCCTCCTGCCTGACACCAATCCTCTTTGGGCAGCTAAGGTAGTTGTAAGGTTGGTTCTCACAGAACAGCGCCACTAAGGCATTGTAAAATCTTTATTGGTAATCATCATGGCTATTGCAATAGACAGATAGTTAGTATGTTTTAAGTAGGAGAATAAGGCTGAGTTTGAATATACAAACGTATTATAGTTTGAATAAAGAAATATGCATAAGTTTCTGAGTTTCGGAACTTTGGAATTCGGCTATCTGCCATTGGCTGACATATGGTTTTTTTCATACTTTTAATTTATTTATACCTTTATCTACCTTTATGTACACCGCTGCAGTACTCGTATATATTGTACATATTTTTTAAGGATATCTACATTTTGGTATTACAATAGGCGGTTTAATCGCTCACGGCGATCTCTTACAGACAACTTTTACACAGATATTGTTAAATCTGATTTAGGGTAATCTGTGGTATACTTAATTATACTATATATCGCAGTCCACTGCTGGACATTGGCCTTAGATCGATTTTTGGCTTCTTGCATCCAGCCATCCTGACATCTTTCGCAAATCGCCACTCCATCTGGCCTGTGATCCTTCTACACTACGTTTGACGAGACGCGGTCTCCACTCAAGAACTCGTTCCCCCAAACGGTTGTCGGTTCTGCGGTTAATATTGACAGCCTACTGCCATTTCAGCTCGCTAATCCGGTGGGTTATGTCGATGACCTTGGTTCTTTGCCGGATCACCTCATTCCCTTAGAGAAACGCCAACGCTGAGCGACTTTGAGCTTGTGGACCAGCCGTACCGTAAGTGTCCACGGTTTGGATCCGTATGTCATGACAGGTAGGACGCACTCATTGAAGACTTTCGTCTGTAGCCACTATGGGATCGACGATGAGGACTCGTTACCAGCTGCCAGACTGACTAGCTAAATTCTTCGATACACTTCGTTCTTAAAGTTGTTTCTACGTAACTACAATGTATCTACTGTACTGTAATTTATTGAGACACAGTAACTTTAAAAAATAAACTCAACCAAATTCAATGTTAGAAGGAATTCCTAAATTAAGGTTGGAAAAGAGGTCAAGTCCTTTGATTGCCTTAGTTTCTTAATTTTCATATGCACATTAGCATATCGTAAGACATCTACCACATTAAGGCTTCTATCAGTTGCATCATATGTACACTAACTCTGAGATTAAATTGATAACAGCGCTGTATTTATGTTTATTACTTAGAAATCATTAATAATAATATACTCCGACATAAGCATCAGTTAAATTTTTATAAAATTATCAGGCGCATTATCGCAATAATCTTTAAATATAAAAGTTTCTATGTTAATATAGAAAATAAAATTGAAAGCAAAATAATTTAAGAATTACATAATTTAAGAACGTTTAAAATCTGAGGTGATTTACAATTAAGACTTAATTGGTTAGGATCTCGTTTTAATTTTAATCTTGTTGCTTTCTACATCGATATTTCAAGTATTCTATAACCTATTAAAACTTTCATCTACGAGACAAAAAAGATGTTTATAAATTATTTAATTCTTCCTATAATAAATTAACATACGAGAATTATAAACATAATGTATGTTATATGGCGTGACCTACCTGAACACATAACCGTATCACTAATTGTAATCCTGCTTTAAAATGTCAAGTCACACAGCCGTACGTTACATCGTTAAAATTTGTGGTAGCTTAAATTTTGACCATGATTCATTTTATGATTCCTAGCGAAACGTATACAATATTATATTGCATATATAACAGATAAAACATGTGGCCACAACATGACCCATAATTTCATTTTATAGTCAGTAATTATTTTGTTATGACAATTACACAGCTGCCAAGGTTAATGAATAATGTCAGATGCTATACGATAAAATTTTATTCCCCTCTATGTATTTAAAACAATGCTATCACATTACAATCTATGTAACAAAGGTACATAAGAACACTCAGTTATTTCCAAACCATATAAATTAAATTTGTAACTTAAAAATGCAAATACATCATCGTTTCGTCATTAATCTTTAATGCATGTTGCAGTTACGTTATACCGAATCACAAAAACAAAAATCTCTTTAAAGTATTTTAAACTTATGCTACGCTTTGTAAGCACTAGTGAGAGCATCGGATGAGTGAGTTGTCTTTAACTTCTCAGCCACTTAGGCAGCGGCATTCAGCTACAAAACCTTGTGTTTTTAACTACGGCTGCCTTCCTCTACATTTTATGTCCTTAGGACACATGTCTCTCGCTGATTCCCATATCTACATACAAAATCTCTTTTATTTAATTTGAAAAGCGCTGCCTAGTGAGTTCCATTCCCGGACCGGGCAAAATGTTAGAGGGTTTTTCCGTGAGGAAAAATAGACATAGTTACTCCTTATATAGACAGCTACCTAGTAGTAAAATATTATCAAAATCTGTTCAGCCGTTTAGAAGATTACCTGGAACAAACAGACAGACAAGCAAACAAAAATTAAACTGGTTTTTAGGCATAGCTATAATGCAAAAAACCTGGTAAACATTAAAAAAACATTATTTTGACATTAACCTGAAACTCAAGGAACACATTTGTATTCTGTTTTTAAAACGTTTATAGTATTTTACCGCGTTAGTAGCACTTCTTTGAACTTTGCACAACATAATTAAATTACTAACATATAAGGTATATACCCAAACCAACGTCAAAATAGTCACGGAGGTCACTAATGAGTCCTTGTATCTTCTGCAATTAACATTTTTAGCCGTTTTTTAATTTTATTTAGTATTGTTTGTTCGGCATCATCGTTAAGTAGTAGTTGTCGAATCTGCAGTCACGATTCCTTTCTTTGAGCCAGAGTCCTTTTGTACTTTAAGCATGTCTGGTTTTTGGTCTATTTTATTATATTATATAGGTTATCTTTCCTTTTTTACTAAGAGATCTTTACGTTGATTAATGTAACGAATCATGTTAAAAGAAGAGTTCTCTTTCTCGTTTTTAGACATGATTCGACTCGTGAGGAGCATTAGAATCTTCTACACATCTACACATTCGTCGTACCAGCTCTTATAAATATCTATCAAAAGTATGACCTAATTTTGATGTTTTTGTAGATTTGACGTAGCAGCGGGCAAATCTTGAAAATTTTACCATGGGATAACAATGCTTCAGAACTACATAGAAAACGGGTTAAAGCAATTGAAGACGTAAGTGGATGAAGGTGACATGTCGCATTTTTGGTTTTGACATTTTTTACAAATACAAATGACTTATGACCTTAGAGTCTTGAGACTTTTTTCTTTAAGACAATTTTAAGGTCTGAAGTCGTTTGTATCCACATATCACCTTCATATACGCAACAAAATGTCAAAATTCAAAAATGCGACATACGTCTTCAATTGTTTCATTGTGTTTCACCGAGTGAGTGGAGTGACCGCCACCCTTGGTCCTGGGGGGAAGAGGGGACTCAAAAGGCGGTATATCGCACTTGTGATTTTTGAGTTGCAGGTGTCCATGGGTAGCGGTAGTAACTTACCATCAGGTGACCCGTCCTCTCGTACCTTCAATACCATAAAAAAGAACATAAATCTTTTCTTTGTTTCATGATCATTGCAAATGTGTCAGTCTGATATAATAATTGATTATAATGCACACGCATATTTCAGTGCAGTATGTTTCCTTTAAATTCAAGGTGTATGCCTTGCCTATGTCTGCCTTGAAAATGTTACTTGATAATTCAAATAACCAATTATATGTTATAGTCATAAAATATGAGAATTCCAACATTTTCTATACGTTAACATAAAAGGACGCTTGAACTCTAGTAGAACAATAGACACGGAAGTGTTGGTATAACTGGCAATAACTGTTGCAATTGTTTGATGACACTGGTCTAGTCTTCGCTGACAATGCCTTGTTGCTAGACTGCTTTATTTCATGAGCTTCATATATTTTCTTGTAAATAATTTTACATTCTTAACAAAATTAGGTTTTCTTCTATCGTGTTCCTCATTTACGATATTAGTTAGACATTATTGTCAGTCGAGATACTTAAAAAAAAATTGTAGTTAAATTTATTCTTACACTAAGAACACTTATAAAATGCTCAATTATTTGAGCTTAGTAGCTCAATTTTTCAGCATTATTTTATTTATTTTTGTGTACTGGGTTGAAAATAACTTAAAACAGGACCAAATCTGATCAGCCTTGTTGAATCTACGCGACAGATAATTTTTATAAAAATCTAAATCAAATAGTTTATTGCAAATATAGGTTAATACAATTGGTGTTTACATAGTTTTATCAGAGAATAAACATTTGTTGCCGTTATATTCCGCCATTTGGTAAGCAATATTTATCACATTTCATTAGATACTTTTATATGAAATTATTTAAACATGTTCTAGTTATAAAATAATATAAATTTCAATTAATTTAGTGTAATTCAAAAATTGACACTTAATTAAGCTTAATATGTTTTTTAATTCAGCTACAGTTCATTATTCTTTTATTTATTTTTTATATTTTGATGTAGGTTGAAAATAACCTAAAATCTGGTTTGCCTTACTTTACCAACTTACACAATAGATAAATTTTAAATGAGCTTTAACATTAAATTCGAGGTGCGGTGAGTGTCTGATGAATTCTTATTTTTTGATGTACAGCGGGTGTGGTGTGTCGCAAAAGCGTTGCCTTGGTGTTTCGAAGCGCCATCGTAGCCTGTAGTAGGTAGTCGTGCGCGCGCCACTTGCTCCGGTCCCCTCCCCCGATCGCCGCGCCTTGCTGCGACCGGCCCGGCCTCAGTTTGCCGCAACGCGTCGATCCGGTTGCCCGCGCATTGTCACAATCATTTTTTTTACCATTGCTACCTCAGCACGCACAACGTTCTGTAACGCACTAAACAACTAGTAGGGCTCCATTTGTATCAAAGACGAGAGCTCGAAGATACCGGACATTAAAATCGATAGGCAAAGTGGAAATCATGCAAACAAAATATATAAATGGAAGCTATACGTCCATCATGAACAAGCAAGATCTATTAAGAGAAGTCGTTGTCAAGTACATAGACTACTTCTACCCCGTGTAAGTAGAGTTTGATTTATCATTTAGTTCTTCATGTATTGATAAACTGACGCATTGCGGGCCTGTAGTGTTTATTCCCAATCTGTTAAATTGACGGTGTATGAAGATTTTTATAATACCCAGCTAATTATCGAGCCGGTAAGTCGGTGAAGGTTCCATGGCAACGTGGCTGCAGCCAGACAAGCCGTTGTCCCTGACGTCAGCGCCGCCTATTGAACTTAGGTGTCTCTATCGTCTGACTGCTGTATCGATCCGTTGCACTAAGCACCATTACACCAAAGGTCTAGGTCTTCTTTACGTTTTTTTTAACCTCGGGTCTTTTATTAACGTGAAGCTGTTTTACCTATATAAAATTAACCTTGTCAGTGCTGTTTTTCAGCTTAAACTTTCGCGTTTCATGATACAAATAAAATGTTGTTTACGTGAATTAAGGCAATCACGTAATAAGTGTAAACTGTAGTTACATATTGGATAACCTATTTTTTTATTATTTAGATATTTTAGGTAATTATATACTGCTGGGTTAAAACACAGTTATGAATTAACTAATTCGTAATTAGAATGGTTTGTTTATGATATCCAAGAAAAAGTATAATTGCGTGAACATTTCTCGTGACCAACTCTAACTACAGCTACAATTATTGCCCTCATATACCACTAATGCCCTTTCTGTCCGAATGGTGTTACTGTTCACGTCCTATAAACTATTTAGCTTTACCAGCGGCACGTGAACTAAACGTTTATTATTTCACGTGATTCAGATTTATAGCTAGATTTCAACAGTTTGTATTGCACAAAATGTTTATGCTTCCTTCCTAATCAACCACACTCATAAACATCGTCTATACTGAACAATTTGCTCAATTGAATTCGTAGAGCCGCTTATTTTTGGACTAATTGAAAAGAACCGCGAGTGTGTTATGATGAAACACGACTGCAAGATGTAACGCCTTTGCGGCGATGGCGCCAGCCATGTCGACACGACACCAAACAATTTCCCTTCAATGACCTTGTGCTCGCAGCGCCACTCGATAACAATATATGAACGCTGAAAACGATGCAGATAATGCTGATAATCCCTTAAAAAGTAGTTTTTAGTCTATATATATAACAACCAGCTAACTGTAATAGTCATAATCTAGCCATGCAAATCATTAGGATAAAAAAAATGTTTTCAAAGGGAAACAGTTCATCTGAATCAAATCGCTAATTGAAAGCTGCTATTTAAATGGAAATATTGAACAAACAATGTGCGTTGTTCGTACCTTTATGACTAATACACGAAATTTTCATGCGGCTCGCATAATTTCTTCAGTGACCTTTGTTTTCTACGGGCTATTGTTGTTGTGTCAACCACTAGGGCACAGCGCTTTGGTGATTATGATTCATACTAATACGAGTATATGTTTCGATAGTCTTATCGTCACGATATGTTCCTATATGTTCCAGTCTGCTAATATTCATACTGTTATGATTACGTGATAATCGACATGCATCTCTTGTTATGATACATTTTTAAACTTTGTGCGTAGTTCTTAGAGCAATAAATTGATAAACTAGACGATATTCTACTTTAAGGACTTCTCTGTTTTATATACACTACATTTATTAACTTCACTCACTAACACTAAGATTTATTCTTAATTTATTTAAGAAAGTAGTTACCGCGAACATATGAGGTAGATGTTATTTTGGCCGGAATCGGATCGTTACGGATAAAAAGCTCTGTAGTATTGTTTTGGTTTATAATGAAAATCTTTATTTTAGTAATGACACGCATGATAACCCTGCAGATCTTTGTTTGGTATCTTTAAAGTGCAGTTGTGTTGACTATGATCTATGCAAGCGCAAATACGCACGTGCGTGGTGACATATCCTTTATCTCTTTGTTTTCCTAAAAACCTTATCATTTTTGTACTGTCTAACCACTATTAGCATAGTGTCTTCAATTTCACCATTTATGTGGTGTGAATATATTAAACTTGTAGGAAAATTATTTTTCTAAAAGACTTGTAACCGGTTTGCTTGTCAGACTCCCATGCCAGTTTTGATATGTTTACGGTCACACCATCATTTCTAGTTACATTTCTTAACAATATATTTTAGCATGAGTTTAATAAAACATTAGTGTTACGGAAGTCGATATCAAAAATTTAAAGATGAATAAAAGAGTTAATAAAATGAGTCAAATTATGTTTCAAACTGTAATTTTGTTAGATGTGGTCTTCAAAAAGTAACGTTGTCACCTTCATGAGACACTTTCTCCGATTCTCTGATTTCACCGTCTTATATTTCAACTTTTCATGCATCTCGACACCGCAACGTCGATGGTTTGAGATTTTGTCAACTTCTAAAATTGCGTAATTACTAACAGAACACTGAAACTTGTTTTGTAGAGATCCGCAGAGAAAGCCTTTTTATGCTGGTCGACGCGTGTCACGGTTGTGTATAAAAAATAAACTCATTTTATCCTGTTTTTCTTTCATTTTCATTACTAAACGTGTAACCACAATAATAGAATGACCAAGAAATACGTATACCTACAATCTACATATCCAGAAATATCTTTAGAAATTAAAATATTGTTTACTGGACTAGAAATACAGTTTTATTGTTTGTTGTATTATATTCCGTATAAATTTTCTTTCTTATACATACATTTATAAATTGACTTACCCGCTGTTTTCTCATTTTTAAGTATAATTCAATTACTGTTTCACGCTATTCTACAAGTTTAAGTGATGTGCATTCAGTCTAAAATCGTAATATATTTTGAGTTCACAACTTATTCAGATCTATGTAAAACAACTTATTTAATTATAATTCTCTGCATCATACCCGTGTCGAGTCTCATTAGGAAAGCTAGTACATTCATAAATTCAGTAAATAAAAAAGTTAGAAGAAAATATTTGACTTCAGGCAGTTTTTATACTTTACACTCGTTTACTCTATTGGTTTGGCAAATTGTAGTTTTTGTAATTAGTGATTGTAGTTAGTATAATAACCGATTGTAAGGTGTTTAAACATAACTGCGTTAATATGCCGGGTACCCATTGTCGCGGTAGTGGTCATGTGGTCCACGGCCATCATTTTACATCGGTGGCGAACCGGTCGAAATCAATCCGCGACGCAGCCCTCAACGGTTGAATGGCTTCAACTTTAACGTTGTGTTGTTCACCTCGTTGACGCGACACGGAATTCATCGCCGGAGAAAGTCAAGTACACAGTCGTACGACGTGCTACATACTAGGCTACCAGACGATTACAGCAGTGAGATTGGATCATAATGGGTAAGTCCGGCAATCGTGGGTGGTAATAGTATCTCTCCAGTTGCTAAGTAGAGTGTGTCGTCATTTTCGTGCTGCACGTGGAGCCGCCCGCGTGCACTTCTATTGACACATTGCTAAATGCAACACAATAGATTTGTTGTTTAAACTGGTGTTACGCCGTGATGACAAAATATGTTTATAATGCAATTTCGCATTTACAGTTACCTACGAGAGAGGTTTTAGACCTCGACGATGGTTCGCTGACTTGTAACGTTACATCGTTTTAATTCAACTTTTTTTCTCGAATCTCGTTCGGCGGCCGGCTGTCTGAACGGATCGATAGAAAGTTTCTAGGTCAGCTCTGCCCACATTTGTCGGGTGAAGATGTATTTCTTAATCCTTAAGTACAAGTGATATGCGAATTGTTTATATCGTCGCTATTACACTTGGCATTAGACATACCATAATGCAGTCGCAATATAAAGGGTACTACTACAAACAACGGCACAGTTCAGTTTACCATTGTTCCCTTTTGTTGTTACAAATGCCGAACAGTTCAACTGGCAGGTCAATGCTTTTGCAATATTTATCCATAGCGGTCGACGCTAACGTAATCATCCGACGGAAGCTTTGCTCAAAATTATCGGTTCGTGCTAATTTATTACTATAATATTAACTATTAAATGTACATTATCTTTCCAAACGAACCCTTACACCCATTTTCGCAATTGCACTTTGACAATTCCAAAAGCAACCATCAAAGGTAATTTTTCATAGGACGTTTACTGTGGCGATTTAAATTGTGAATGTGTTTCGATAACGCATATTTATGTTCACATTCCAACTCGACGATAATATAATCAACTTTTCGTTTACGCATACGATAAATCTCCGTGCCAATTTCGTTCACGTGGAGACAAACACTTTAGGAAAAGCAAATGCATTGAATTGAATCTGCATACATTTACCCAGGGTGTAAGGTACATCGTAACAAATACTGAAATAGTGTATTCAGAGCATAATTCTGAGTCTAAAATCATTGGAATTTTCTGGAGGAAAATACATCTTTTTTTTTTAATTTTCCATTTTTTCTGTTAAAAATGATATCACAATGAGTAAACAGAACTTTTCACAGAAAACAAATGAATAAATACCGCATACGGTCAAAAACTGCAATGTAATTATTCAAACAGCCGAAGCGCGCGGGGCCTCCCCCCAGGCGCCCAACTTGTGTTAGTGTGTGTAGACTGTTATACACACTACACATGTAGTTATTACTTTTTTGCGATACCTACGTGAAATTACCTTTACCTTTTACAGCTGATTGCATAAAAACAAAAAAAAAACCGGGAGAAAATTCCAATGATTTTAGACGCAGAATGATGATCTGAATACACTATTTCAGTATTCGTTACGATGATGTCCCTTACACCGTGCATAAAGGAAATGTAGATAGACAATTTGTATTTGACAGGTTAGGGCGAGAATCCTTGCGTAAATTAATTTGGTCTACCGATTACGTCAATTGAAAACAGAAGTTTAGCTAAATTGTTATACCTAAACATTTCTGCATTTAGATAATATTAAGCGTAATAGCTAATTGCTCTATCGTATTTTTTCTTTTTGCTTAACAAAAGAAAACGATACTACATAATTTATACCTTAATTACGAATCGCTTTGTTTCTTTTATACGTTTGAATTATGAATGTCACGTACAATTGTTATTTACAAAAGACTATAAACACATAGTAACTACTTAGGATTTTGTTTGTTAACTACTGAAGGATTTTAATTTTATGAGCTTAAATTTAAAGACCAGCTAATAGGTACATATAACTATAAGATGCTGTAATGCTAATGCTGTAATGTAAATGTGCTGTAATCATGATAATAATGGCGAGCTTAAGGAATTTATATTTGCCATTCCTTTCTAAGGAGAGGCCTATGTCCAGCAGTGGACTATTAAAGGCTGTTGATGTGATGATGTATGATGATAATTGCCAAATAATAATGATACAAACCACCTTTCAAATAGATCTCTGACATTACGATCGTAATTGTACATTGAAAAGCAAGCCAAATCTGAACCTTTGGTTTTTTGGCTTCAGGTTTAGTTCCTGACCTTCGTCAAAGCGAATGTTTGTAAAACAAATTAATATCACTACATGGTGACGTTAACTACTGGTAATGTACAAAAGTTTAATAGGTTTTTTGATGTGTTTTATCTTTTGTTACAGCGCATCGGGCACAAGCGCGGTGGCCATCGACAACAAGATCGAGCAAGCAATGGTAAGTTCCTCTTAAAAATCATAAAATTATTATTTTAATGAATCATAAAGATGTAACAGCAACTCGCTGCGATTTCAAAAGATTGCGATATTTGTATATTAAATATAAACGGCATCAAGATATCTGGGTCATCAGCGCTGGATCTAAAATGCAAAACAGCAGTAAAGCAAAATACTTATAGTGCGTAGCAGTTTAAAGATTACGATTAAGAAACACATTAAATAACGAATGCAATACGACTATTATCCTACAAATGATTTTGAAATTGAAGTTTAAGGATGTTTGAAATTATACATTTTATAAATTTGTTTAGTTTTAGACGCACTTTCCTTTCATCTATAGTGCTTTGCAGCAGAATTTATTTATACAAACATACTGATTAAATTCTTGAATTTAACCATTAAAGATTGCAATACTAATTGACAAAAACCACCAATTAGTTACCGCAATAGATAACGATGGCACTCAAGATAGGATTAGACAACAACAAATGTCAATCACAACTGATATTATCAGCATTTTCTTTCTTTCTCTATGTACCATCGAAACCGAATCCTTATTGATAACTGGTACAGTTTTACATAAACAAGCGCAAAAAATAATATTCTTTTTATCTTTAGGAGTCCCTGAATTCTTATTATAAGTAACAGATGTATACGTGATTGCACTAATGCCAAGGCACTTGTCATAAACCGGTCCACCTTAACGTCTCTACTCTTTATTTGTTCACCTTATTAATGTATCACTGACCCCTTGTTGACTTCGATCTCGGTATTCACTCAACGGCTTTGTACTTTAATATCGACACCTTTTCGCGACTTTTAATAAGACGAGGTATTATTTTCGTTGTGCTGTATTATTAAGAAATGTTCGTCGACTTCTTGGTAGCTCGATAATACTTCAGAATAAAACAATTATGAATGTGTAATTAGGTATCTTCTCTTAAAAATGTCCCCTTCGAGTCTGAATAAACCGTGTATCCTTTATAAATATCAGCAGAAAAAGCTGGTTAAATGATATTATTAATAATAATTATCAGTCCATTATATATATATGTCTATCAACGCAACTTATCAATATCTACTTTTTGAACACATTTCAAAGTAACAGGTCAGTGTCATTTTCAAAGGAACACATTTCAAAATTAGTGTGCATGTGGGTCGTACCTGAGTTCGCGCGCCTGTAGTTATTTACTACATACTTTTTAGTCATTGCTTAGATCTGTTAAGTAGCTAACTTAATGTTTCTAGTATAGAAGTGTTTTTAGTGAGGATTTCAAAATAAAAAAACCGTTAAATAGTATCAGTATGAATTAATGAAATGACAATGGTCTTTATTTTCGTGAAACATCCAACCTTATCAAGACAGAGACCTACCTACCTTTCTAGGCGTTGCCTTAAACAAGCTTAGGGTGACTGATGACTAATATAAATACATAGTACAAACTTAAAACAAAGGTTTACTATCAGCTGCACAAACACTTTGTTGAAATTTTGCGTTTATTCGTATATAGTACCTACAATTTCCACAGTACACTTGCAACATGATTCAACAATATCTTCAATAGTAAAGTGCTTCGTGACTTGTTGGGCTAAATCCGCTTTAATACTAACCGCTATTTATCATAATTGTCTTTAAATAAGGGAAATCTTGAATAAATAGTGTCTTTAAGAGACCGCCTACGGTAGAAGTATTATATATACATATATATTTATTATTACTAGTATTTAGTACTAGCCATTTTAACTTCTAACTATACAGTGTTTAATACCTACATGTTATTCAGGTCAATCTTACGTATCTCTACGCGTACGCGCATTGTAAATTTTATAAAACTAGAATTAGATAAAAACCAACTACTTTTTAAGAAACTTCTGAAAATGAATGTTAAAGTTGTAACGAACTTGTTATCATGTGTCTTGTTGTTTATCAATTAGAGGGACCCTAGACTAAAACTATATTGCAAAAGTCGACTTAATTACAATTTGATAGTTAATTCGTATTTTTTCGTCAAGATTTTGTTGTGTTATATAATCGAAGGTTATATATATAGATTTAGTATATGATTTTAACTTTTTGTTGCATTGCTTATATTTTTCTAAATTAGATGTTTCTCTTTTAACTAGGCAGCATTCATATTTTATAATCTATCATCCAGTCCTATACATGTTCTTAGAAAACTTGCAGATATTTTATAAATCACTAGTTCCAACCTACGATTATCGTTTATTTTCTTAGTATTTAGACTTCATCGTTTGGAATCCAATCGCATGACGATCATTACTTTTTATTTATTAGATATCTTGAAGCAATCTAAGACATTCAGAATGTTCTGTGTCAGTTGGCCGCGCTTGTTCCGCATGCTCTCAACTCCAGTAATTCTTAGAATATTTTACAACCAGCTTTAATAACGCCATGGCCCTTTTTTCAACGTTATTTACCGCGTTAATATAAGCAACACGCGTGACTGGCCATTTTAGTTTATCGCATTTTCGCTACAGCTCTTGGATTTCGTGTTCATGTTGTCTTCTTATCACTCGTGAGTACTGTACTTTTATTCTGAATCAAAGGTTCCCTAAGTTCTTTTCTGTACCCTTGACATGTGTTTAAAAGTTTATCATGGTCGGTTGAATAATTAAAGTGTGAAAATATAACGAACAAAGTAACTAACATTTGCATTTATAATAATGAGGGCGGCTGGCCAGTATAAGTAGTATCCTATACACCATTAATATAGAAAATGTATGTGTGTATGATATAATATCTATTGCCTCTTTTATGAAACAAATATTTGAGACAGTGAATCATACCCTTCTGAAATAAAAACTTCGCGAGATGTGGGTCAGCCAAACTATTGACCGATATCATAGAGCATCACTAGCAATAACGATAAACGCACTTCGCGTATCTATTTTTAAAAATTATGTATCGTTTACACATACAATCAGACTTTACATTCGTACATCTATTAAACCTCTAGTACGGTGACAGATAATTCCACAGGTCTATCAAACAGACCATACGCATCTGCAAAATAATCACGTGCTATTGCAATTCAGTTTTATGCAGCAGTTGCGTAAAGAAGCAATCTCACGAGAGCTTATCCGTGTTTATAATAGCAATGGTTGAGGTGCATAACACTGTTATTAGATCGGCATCACCATTTGAATTACTAATGACTTCCCTTTTTTAATAGCCAGGAAATGCGTCCCGTTCTACCCTTTAGCATATTATACAATGACACCGTATTTTACTTCGATTTATGATTTGTTTGCGATACCTACATAAACTACTCGTTTATCACATCTAATACGATATCTACAATAAAAAAAATATGATAAAATGTACCTTTTGCTCTCATCTGAATAAAAAAATATTAAAATTTTTGCATTTAATACCACTTGTTTTTCTAATAAAACAACGCACTCTTGGCTTTGACGTTCTAAGTATTACTACGTTTTGAGAGAGACATAAAATTACTTTATAACAGCTGTATATACTCCGATCTGTATATAAAGTTTTATAATTTCTAATTGAATCTTCTAGAGGCTTCAATCACAATTGTCGCCAAATAGGCCAGCGTTTTCACATTTTCCATCAAGTACATCTGCGATCGCAATTGAGATTCATCGTCGTGCACTATTGGACGCGTCTACATCGTCTATAATTAGCCACCGCAGATGGCCTCAAGCGATTGACCCCAATCCAGCCCTAATGCTCACTACCATCGCATAGTATTTTTATCACTTCTCACAACACGCCAGCGATGTTCTACAATCTCCCTATATGACTTTGATGAATGTCATTGTTACACAACAAAACATTTTTTTCAATTTTGAGATACATATATGTGTTATTGTAAAGGCCCTAACTACGGAAAAAATTAAGATAAGGCCGGTAAAACTCTGATAAACCTTCTTGGTAAATTTGGTTCGAACAAATTTTGTGATAGTCATTGATTTCGAACACCACCTACCACGACTCTGTAACCTAGGTTTTATCACAGCGACATGAATGACATGATAATATTATAATTTACGTTAGAGTAGGTTTTTAAACAACACCCAATAGTAATAAACGAATAACTAAAAATAAAATTTCTTTCCTTTTATTATTTGGTTGCATGGTTTTCAATAACTCATATGAGCATTTATAATATCGTCTAGTAAATACTATAATAAATAACTTGTAAAAAAATGGAGAGCTACTTTAATATGGAAAGCTATAAAGTTATCGTGTTTATTTTTGACATTAAACCAAAGGTGTATCGAGTACCTAGATGGTGGTAAAAGTTCGAATGGAGCAATGATGATGACCAACCATTTAACTTCCCAAACTTTTACCGTTAGATCTTAGATTTTACCGGCTGGGCTCAACATATATTGCACACCAACTTATTATTTGTTTTTGTGCTTTTATTCATCTTTCTCTATACGTGTAGACAATTACGAGGGGTGATCAATAAGTAATGATAATCAATATGAAACAGAACTATTAGATTAAAAAAAGTATTTTATTTTTCAACATAGTCTCCTTGCAAGTTAATACATTTAGTGTATCTTTTTTCCAAGCCCATGATTCCCTTAGAAAAAAATTCTTTGTCTTGACCCTCCCAAAATGCCTCTACAGCGGCCATCACTTCACTATTGTCCTCAAATTTGTTGCCCCGGAGGTGTTCTTTGAGCCGAGGAAAGAGGTAGAAGTCACTGGGAGCTAGATCTGGCGAATAGGGAGGGTGTTCGAGCAGTTCGAACCCCGTTTATTCAATGGCAGCCATCGCAACTGCGGCTTTGTGAGCCGGGGCGTTGTCTTGGTGAAACAGCACTCCAGCGCGCAGTTTACCGCGTCTTTTTGACTTAATAGCTTCTCGCAATCTTCTTATTTGGCCTGCGTAGTAAGAGCCTGTTATAGTGGCCCCCTTTTCCAAATATTCCACCATAATAATTCCTTCTGCATCCCAGAAAACAGACGCCATAACCTTTCCCGCTGAACTTGACACT